AGCCTTGGCAGCTATAACAAGGCAGGGTCAGTGTTGGCTGCAGTTGGCAGCCATTACAAACAGTAGTAAGTATTGGCAGGGAGTGCAGAATTAGCTGGATAACAGAAATAACAATCTGGAGCAGATACTAACTATCCTAGCATTGTAGGTCAGGATTGCTGGAGTACACTCTCCAACTGGTATATTCAGAGCTAGGGAATGAGAGGCCAGAGAAGAGTTCAGCTATTTGCCATTCACTCAGCTTTGAACCTTCAGTGAGGAACAGCATCAGAAAAGAAGAAAGTTGCAAGTACAGGGAGTGTGGCATTGGCAATGAGAGGCAATAGGAATAACGAGCTTGGAAGGAAATAAGAAAAAGGAGGTTGCAGAAGGGAACACAGCCAGACTCTCATCTACAGAAAAACAACACCTAGCAGACAAGTTTTATGGTTACCTTTCTATAGATGTGGGAGGAGCATTGTCACTGATGCTTCTCCAGCAAGGGCATTGCCAAGCTGTGTGCCACAATGGTAGATGAGCTAAACCCCAAAGGTCTGTTCTGTTGAACATCAATGGGAAATTTCTACACATTCAGGATCATTTTGGGAATCCACTGGAGATCTCTGTGGCATCTATAAATTTCTGCTCATTATTGCGTCACAATGGTCACCAATGCCATATTGAAGAGAGTCTGCCAGTATGTGTGCTTTCAATTGATATGGACGGTCAAAATCACATGGCTGAGGGATTCGGGGCCGATGATGGATTCCGCTAGATGCAGAGTTTCATTATGGCCACAGTTGTTCACACGAAGATTCCCACTGACAAGACAGCAGCCTTCATCAACAGGGTGGCTTTCACATGCTCAGCATACAACGGGTCCTTGAAACTGCTATGACATCTGTATACTAAGGCAGTTTCAGGTGCTTGACTTTTTTCTACGCTAACTTTCTCCCCAGCCTCATCCCCATTGCCTTCAAGAATATAAGCTGTTAAGGGCTACACACTGAAGAGATAGCTTTACACCTGTGAGGCACCCAAACACAGGTGCACAGAACATATACAGCTGCCACAGGACTACTCAAGTTGCCACTAGCCTTCTATGATGCCTGAATAAATCTAGCAGAATCTCATATATCATGATGGAATGCAGTGATCTGCACAATCTGGTTCTACGAATGGACAACTTCTAAATAATGAGGATATCTGGCATGTGATGTCTTCTCCACCAGTAAGGGTATGGAGGGGGATTGTGAACAGGTACAATAGGATGAAGACCCTGAGAGATAGCAAGCAAGGTGCAATGAGAGATATACAAGGAGGTCTCGATACAGGCAAGTTTCACGTGAGCCTTACTTACAGTCAATCTAATAAATCTTCAGTCTCCTGAAGACCCATTTTTGTGTTGTTGAATACCCTTACCAACTTCCAAGAGTTACGAGGTTGATATTTTCCCATGCTTGCAAATGTTTTTATGTGCTCCTATTTGGTGTTTGCCTGTGTTGTCACCCGAGTAAAGGCTGTCTGCTGATCTTTCAGCTCTGTGGCTTTCAGTGATTGTGACAATCATCCTGTAGTTTCATTATGCCTGGAGAGCTTTGGCATATTGAGGTCCTCCTCCACAGATGCAAGAGCCCATTTTGTCTCCATGGCTTCATGAAGCCTTGGTGCCACAGTCAGCAGGGCTGACGAATAGCTATTAATGCAAACAGCACTCTAAAGGTGTCCCTTCGCTCTGCAGATGTCTGCTCCGCCACTCTTGCACAGTCCACTTAGCCTTCCTTGCCCATCAGTGGAGTTAGAGAACCTGGTGATAGCTCAAAGGACATTGTCCCCCTCTTTGACTTGCTGCTAGAGCTGTCACTGTTTCCCCTGGAATCAGTGTAATATCACATGCTCCTAATAAGTTTTTAAAGATGGCATCAGCATTTAGGATCTGGTACTCCCCTGCACTGTCGCAATGGTTTCCTTCTTCAGCTGCTAGCCCTGAGAATATCACGTACGACTCTGCCACCTGTGCATGCTGCATGACTGGCTTTTGATCATTTTGGGTCCGGTGACCCTTCCTCAGACTGGGTTCTGAGGAAGGGTCGCCAGATCCAAAATGTTAACTCTGAATTTTTCTTCACAGATGTTGACAGACCTACTGAGATTTTCCAGCAACTTCTGTTTTTATTCCTGATTTACAGCATCCGCAGTTCTTTCAGTTTTTACTTGGCTTTTGATCATAGCAACATATCTTACTTGAGATAAAAGGTTTTGAGCAAGTGTAAAGAGGGAGAGGGTGGAGATCTCATGCGAAAGGGTGGACATCTCAGGAGATAAAAACACAAAACATTTCATTCTGCAGGGTCAAAGGGAGTGGCAATGGAAAATATAAAGAAACAAATGACGTGTATAGGTGATGCAAATGATGATATCCAGAATAGCTGCCTTCTGAAAGCAAAGTGGAAATGCATGTGCAAGAAAAAAAGTGTCAGCTGTCCCTTGACTCGAGGATGGCGTCTCCTCAGGATGATGAATTTCTGTTGTGGATCATCATGTGACTGATTTTTAACCCAGACTTGGGTTCACGAGGTAGGACATACCACCAGGTAATGTGATCTGCAGTACAAGATTTGCTTCCCTTTCTATCCTTCTGTGCTGCCACCCTATCTCACCATTGAAACACTTAAAAATGTGTGGTAAAGCTTGATGAACAAGTTATCACTATTTTGAAAGATTTGCAAACTCTTCCAGTCATTAATATCAATTCTGCCGTGCTTTAATCAAAAGGTTGAGTGTGTCTTTGTGGTCTTTTGTCATCCCTTGGAACAGTAGTCATTTGAGAGTTGAGAGAACAGAACCTTGCAGAGTGACAACTTTCAACCATCCAGCCAAAATATCCTGTCAATTGTAATTGATCTTGCACGAAATTTTCCCAAATGCTTGTGGAGCTGGCATCAAGGCCACTAACATCTGTTTGGCTGTCCTCGCATTGGGTCAACAGAGGCATTGCTGGTGAAATTTCTCTAGCACTTTTACACAGTCACTCACATGTAGTATAGGAGTATTCTAACTACATGCTCCATACCTTAGGTGGCTTTTTGAGAGATGTGGCTGGCAAGGCATGGAAAGTGCTCAACATATTCCAGAGATGCTCCTTTCAACATATATGGGAGATAAAACACCAAACCAGGAAAGAAAGGTGAAAGGAAGAATGACAGAAGAGACAGAAGTCATAGTCCTGAAATATTTTATCTTGCCACAGATACTGCCAAAGCTTTCTGAGCATTTCCACCATGATCGTTTTTCTTTCTGGTTTCCAACATTCACGGTATTGCTACTGATTCAAATTCATATTCGCCTTGAACACAGCAGCTGTGTGACACATGGAGTAGCTGCCTGCTGCAGTCAGTGCTGCAATGATCTGAGGATTGAATATAGTTACACTTCAGTGTCTATTTGGTAGTAATGAGACCTAATTTCTGGGATCATAGTCCTTAATCCCACAGACAACTGGAGAACATACAACCATAGGCTATTTTTCCAGAGGTCCAGAAAGCTGCCTAAGATGGTGCAGATTAATGAAGGGTCTAATAGCCTATTTCTCAGGGTAGTTGGGGCCCAGACATCAGACCTGCTCTGCTCAGTTTTTCCAAATGAGGCTGCAACCTAGCCAGTTGCTGCCTTGAAATATTTATTGATTTTAACAATTTACTTGAGACAACGGGAGCTCTATCTAGCTCCAAGCACTCCTGCCAGCTGCAATCAACTCCCTTTCCCCTTCCCTGTACCATCTTTCCTCTTTTCTAGCTCCGCACTTACCTGAGAGCCTTTAACAGAAGGGCAAGTACCTGAATCTAGCAGGTGAAAGAATACCTTCTGCTGGATCTTCTTTCATGGTTTGAACTGCACAACATCTTCCTAGTAGCTGACATCTCAGCTTTCCCCTGCCCATTTAATGGCCCATCCTGGTTTCTCAGTGGAGCACTCTGCAAGAATGGGTGAGCAATATTATGATCTCTCACCTTGCCCTACTTTGCTGAGACTGTCGGAATCAGAGCCACGTGCTGAGTGTCCAAATTCAGGCCTGCCCAATACCAAGTGCCAGGTCTATCCAGTCATAATCTGGATAAAGCAGCTTTCACTTGGGAAGTTTGTTGTAGGTCTGTCAGCCTGTTAAACAACATACCTCATACATTTCCAATTCTCACACCAAATGAAGTCACACTACTATTTAAATCCAACTTCGCAATGTGAGCCCAATGCAGTGAGGAACTAACAGCTCAAGGTCTTTGCATCTAGGCTGGACTACAGCCCAGGATCCAAAGGTCAAAAGCTAATGCCTAACCCATTACACAAACCAACTCTTTGCACTTCAGAAACTCTGATGTCTCAGCAAATTCAAGTCCCAAAAATTATATTTAAAATAGGAAAGGTGGAATTCAACTCGCATTCATTTCTACATTTACATATTTTTAAAGTAAGCACATCTTCATAGTTTAACTAGGTGTCACGTTCATTAACCAGAACTCTCACTAAACAAAAGGCTATAGTTGTAAAAATTTCTCCTCCAAATCCAGCAGCTGGATCTGGGCTTTAATTCTTAGGACAAGAAACTGTTTCAAGTGAGAATGGATACTGGTCTGAAGCCTTCCCCACTGACTTCAAGAGCTGCCACCACTGATGGGGTCTCTCGTGGCTGGTAGCAGTTGCCAGATCACATTCTCCTTCCTTCCAGGGCTTTCATGGTACACAATTATCTTACTCTCGTACACAGTTGCCACAACCTTCTTGTCTCTGCTGTGCGCCTCATTTCTCCTTGCAGTATTATGTTGTAGGAGCTGCTGCTTGGGTAATGCCATACAGCAGAGAACAAATCACAACGAGAGCATCCAAAGGCATCAAGACATCATGTCCACTTGTCTTAGCCCGAGAGAAAACTCGCTTCCGAATTACTGTGAAAACTATTGAGATTTCAGAGCTCCGTCATGAATGAGGGTTCATTTTACTTAGAAAATGTCTTGCAATAAACTCACAGGAGCTGGCATGTCCTAATAAATGGTTCCATCTCTTCGGGTACTGCATCTCATTGTCAAATCTCCGACTGTCATTCCCCTGCACCATGATCTCCTGAAAGAAAACCCACCATCATTCACTGTCCTTCCATAATACTACCCCCATTTCACACTCATCTTCCTCTTGGTCTATGAATGTGTTTTTACCTTCCACAGTTGTGTCCATTTTCACACAATCCATGTTTGCATCTCTTGAATTAGTTTCTGTTGCTGCAATAGCAAAATAAATTCACTTACAACCTTGTGTGACACATACACACACACAATGGTGCATTGTTCCTCAGTGTACTTTCAGTCTTTAACACGGTTGATCACAATCTCCTCCTACAGCATATGCCCTATGTTCACAAGGTTGACCCTTGCTTGACTCAATCGTTGCCTTTACAGTTTTTCCAGGAAAACTTCTCCGTCCATCTCAGTGTAAAAATCTGGAACTCCCCAAGGATCAATTTTCAGCCCTTCCCCTTCCTTAAAACCTCCACTTTAGTAGTATGATTAACAGATATCATGGTCACATCCAAATAGACATTAATAAGCTCTACATTTCCATCACTTCTAGGAAGAGCTCAACCAATTTTGTCCTGTTAGATCGTTTGTGGGATAGTAGGCACATGAAATCCCCTCGTGGTGTTAACTAACTAGATACTACTGAGAGCTAACCTACAGGAATGCACTCAAAACTGGCAACTGGATCAGCCACCCAAAGCCAGCAGGGGTCCTTTTAATATATTTATGTCAGTTCCTGATGACATCATCAGGATCTAGTTGCAATTTTTACCCGTAGGCTTGAGTAGGAAATGATATTAATTTCCTGATGTGCCTACACAACAAGGAGCTGGATTGGGACTAGAAGGCCTACACAGGGTAAGTTTAATTTTTTAAAAGTTTCATTTTGGCTAGGCTGAGCACAATTCCATGTCTTCCCAGAAGAATCCCCAGTTGATGTACCATGTCCCTGGGCATACACCTCCAGAAGAGACCTACTTCGGGACACTTATTCTGAAAAGAGCCGTTTTTATTCGTGTTGAAATGTCAAAATTTGAAATTACTTCAAATCTACTTGATCAATTAGCTTGTGACATTCACTTGTGGATGCCCTTCCTGGAATTAGCTATAGCTGGCAGTGTTAGGTGGGACAAGTGGTTCCATCATCAGAGATTTATTTTTTAAAAATCAACTTCTGTTGTGGCCAAGGGTTGAATTGAGCTAAGTTTTATAATCAATCATTTCAAGTAAATACTAAATACAAAAAAGATAGAACACAGTAAGATAGTATACAGTCATGACTCTGACAGGAGGTATGCACTGGACATCAAGCCCCACTACTCCATGAGTATTTAGTATTTACTTGAAATGATTGATTATAAAACTTAGCTCAATTTGTTTCTTTTTACTCGTTAACTAGAACAAAAGACTTTCACCAAGCTATTCAAAATAAAGGTTTATTACAGGTAAACTTTACGCAAACTGATTGCATACTGGTTTTCAACTGAGCTATTTTGGGAATTAAGAGATATACCCTTGAATCCCAAACGCGCACACATTCATTCAGTTAGGGCAAAGCCGTGCACAACTCTGCAAAGCTATTATTCTGAATAATAAAGGCAAAAGAGAAGAAAAATAACAGGTAAAAGGACAAAACTGAGCAGACAGAAGGTGGTTTGATTTCTCACAGTTCCTTTAAATTCCTGTTGATGACATGCAATTGCAAACGGGTAGAAAATCTTCAGACTAGATTTAAGATACAGCTGAGAAACATTTAGGAGTTCTGTTATTTCAAACTTCCTCAGTTCTTTTTTAAACAAGAACCCACCAAGTGCTACATTCAGCTCCAAGCTACAATTCCTACTGACAGAGAGAGAGAGAGAGAGAGAGAGATTGTTGTCCTTGCAAACTTTCCCAGGAATTGCCTATGGATTCGAGGTGTACCTCGAAAATAAAACGCCAATTATCTCTGACCAGAGGCTGTTTCTAGGCAACAGCAACCTAGATCCATTGGGATTTTCCAGGTCTGCTTGCTCAACGATTAAAACAATAAATCTCTAGCCTTATCTCTAGTTAAAACTTTGCTGTACACTGCTTTCCAAGAAACTTTCTTTTTGGTAAACAACAAATAGACCATAGTCTCCTCGAACTTTTTGACTTTCCAGTTCCATGCAATGACATTATAAATCCTTTCTAATAAGTAATGTCCAAACATGTCCATATTCCAATTCTCAATCTGTAAACATTTACATTCTCCAATGTATTGATAATCAGATTAGGATCTTAACATAAGAACATAAGAACATAAGAACCAGGAGCAGGAATAGGCCATCTGGGCCTTCAAGCCCGCTCCACCATTCATTATAATCACGGCTGTACTTTTCGTGGCCTCAGCTCCACTTACCCACCCTCCCACTGTAACCCTTAATTCTTTACTGTTCAAAAGATTATCTATCTTAGCTTTAAAAACATTCAAAGAGGAATTCCACAGATTCACAACCCTTTGGGTGAAGATGTTCCTTCTCAATTCAGTCCTAAATCTGCTCCGCCTAATTTTGAGGCTATGCCCTTTTGTTCTAGTTTCACCCGCCAGTGGAAACATCCTCTCTGCTTCTAAGTTACCTATTCCCTTCATAATTTTATATGTTTCTATAAGATCCCCCCTCCTTCTTCTAAATTTCAATGAATATAATCCCAGTCTACTCAGTCTCTTCTCATAAACCAACACTCTCAACTCTGCAATCAACCTAATGAATCTCCACTGCACCCCTTTCAGTGCCAGTACATCCTTTCTCAAGTAAGGAGACCAAAACTGCACGCAGTACTCCAGGTGTTGCCTCACCAGCACCCTATACAGCTGTAACATAACCTCCCTGCTTTTAAACTTAATCCCTCTAGCAATGAAGAACAAAACTCCATTTGTCTTCTTAATTACCTGTCGCACCTACAAACCATCCTTCTGCAATTCATGCATAGCAGCATGCTGCAATTTTTTTTTACAGTTCAAGTGACAGTCCTTTCTACTGTTATTCCTACCAAAATGGATGACTTTGCATTTATCAACATTGTACTCCATCTGCCAGACCTTCGCCCTCTCACTTAAAACTATCTACAAGTAGTTCTCCTATAACGTGATAGTTGTGTTCTTGTGTGACCTTGCACTATAGAAAATCGCGTCACAGGGAAATCACTATACCTGTACAGCAAAGAGTTGGTGTTATCAAACAGCGTCCACTATTCATCAATCGCGTTACTGCCAATTCATGTTAATTATAGCATTATAGCAGAAATACCCGTATATCCCTCTGCAAAGTTTCGGAGTCCTCTGCACACTTTGCTCTACCACTCATCATAGTGTCATGCACAAACTGACACACTACATGTGGTTCCAAATCAATGTAAATTGTAAACAATTGCGGTCCCAACACTGATCCCTGAGACACACCACTAGTCACTGATCGGCAACCAGAAATGCACTTATTTATCCCCACTCTTTGCTTTCTGTTAGTTAACCAATCCTCTCTCCACACTAATACATTGCCTGTCACACCGTGCACCTTTACCTTATGCAGCACCTTAAGTGCCTTTTGGAAATCTAGATACACCATATCTACAGGGTCCCTGTTGTCCACCACGCTCATAATGTCTTCATAGAATTCCAGTAAATTAGTTAAACATGACCTGCCCTTCACAAACCCACATTGCGTCTGCCCAATGGGACAATTTCTATCTAGATGAATTGCTATTTCTTCTTTGATGATAGATTCAAGCATTTTCCCCATTACAGAAGTTAAGCTAACCAGCCTATAATTCCCCATCTTTTGTCTACCTCTTTTTTTTTTAAAAAACAGTGGCGTCACATTTGCTGTTTTCCAATCTGCTGGAACTGTATCAGAGTCCAGTGAATTTTGGAAAATTACGAGTGCATTGCTATTTCTCCTGCCATCTCTTTTAGTACCCTGGGATGCATTCCATCAGGGCCAGGAGACTTGTCTACCTTTAGCTCCATTAGCTTGCCCAACGCTACCTATTTCAGGATCATGATCGTGTCTAGGTCCACACCTACTTTAGTTTCCTTGTCATCAATTACTGCCATGTTATTCATGTCCTCCACTGTGAAGACTGACAACATACCTGTTCAATGCCACATCCTCTAAAGGACCAATGTTTACCTTAGCCACTCTTTCGTTTTATATATTTATAGAAACTTTTTCTGTCTGTCTTCATATTCTGAGCAAGTCTACTCATAATCTATCTAACTAACTTTTCTTTATAGCCTTTTTTGTGGCTTACTGTTGATGTTTAAAGTTTTCTCAATCTTCTAGTTTCCCACTGGTCTTTGCCACTTTGTATGCCTTATCTTTCATTTTGATAGCCCTTATTTCCTTAGAAATCCATGGACGATTACCCCTTTTTCTACAGTCTTTCCTTTTCACTCGTATATACTTTTGCTGAGCACTTTGAAAAATTGCTTTGAAAGTCCTCCACTGTTCCTCAAATGTCCTACCATAAAGTCTTTGCTTCCAGTCTATTTTAACCAACACCTCCTTCGTCCTATTGTCATCTCTTTTGTTTAAGCACAGGACCTTGGCATTCAATTTTATCTTCTCACTCTCCATCTGTATTCTAAATTCAACTATATTGTGATCACTCTTTCCAAGAGGATCCCTAACTGTGAGATCATTAATTATTTCTGTCCCATTACTCAGGACCAGATCTAGGACAGCTTAGTCCCTTTACAGTCTCCATTACATACTGTTCAAGAAAACTATTGTGGATACATTCAATGAACACCTCCTCGAGGCTGCCTTGACTGACCTGGTTCAACCAATTGACATATAGATTAAGATGCCCCATGATAACTGGCATACCATTTTTACAGGCATTAGTTATTTCTTTGTTTATTGTCTGTCCCAATGATTTTTTCTACTTAGAATTTCTAATTTCCACCCAAATAGATTCAACCTTATTCTCCAGAGAACCAATATCATCTCTCACTACCGCCCTGATGTCATCCTTAAATATCAGGACTACACCACCTCAATGACCTTCCTGTCTGTCCTCCCAAATAGTCTGGATATTTAGTTCCCTGTCATGACCATCCTGCAACCATGCCTCCTAAATCATACTCATTCATGACGATTTGTGCCATTAAACTCATCTGCCTTGTTTTGAAGCTACAAACATTCAGGTAAAGTGCCTTTAGGCTAGTTTTTGTACCTTCTTTTTGAGTGCTAACATCTCCATTAATAATATTACCTGAGTTTTCCTTCCTCTTCTTTCATAGTCTTCAAAGTAGTTAAACCCTCCTGCGTACATTAACCTGCTTTCTTTTCTATTTACCATGATACTTCCTGTCATTTTCCCCTCCCCTTCCCCCCAACTCACTAGTTTAAAGCCCTAGTGACCACCTGATTTAACCTTTTTGCTAGAACACTGGTTCCAGATCGGCTCAGGTAGAGACTGTCCCAATGGTACAGATCCCTCCTGTTCCAAAACTGATGTCAATACCCCATGAAATGCAACCCCTCTTGCCCATCCCACTCCATTAGCCACACGTTTACTTCCCTAATTTCCTTATCCCTAAGCCAACTTGCACGTGGCTCAGGTAGTAATCCAGAGATTATAATCTTCGAAGACCTGTTCCTTAATTTTGCTCCTAATGCTTTATAATCCCTGAACAGGACTCCTTCCTCACCTTGCCTATGTTGTTTGTCCCAATGTGGGCCACAAAAATTGGATCCTCGTCCTTCTGCTCCAATATTCTTTCAAGCCAGTCAGAGATGCCCCTCAACCTGGCACTGGGCAGGCAACACACCATGCAGCAGTCTCAATCCTGCTCACAAAGAATGCTATCAATCCCCCTAATTATAGAGTCCCTTTACATTAACAGGGTTCAAATTTTAGCAGTAATTAGAGTCTGTTCAATGTGTGCTTGAGATACATCTTTGGACTATTTTTAAATCTCACTGTTTCACATCTTCCTTCAGTTAGTTGTTTTCAATTCCACAGCTGGTAGCCCTATGAAATCTGTCTACAGGTAACAGGTAACGACGTTTGGCATTCATCAGCAATCTCACAAAAGAACAATAGAGGTGATCACTTCTGTTCTCAAGCGTCTCCATACTGCAATTGTGAGGCATCTGAGAAGTTGTGGTAATTAAGGCCAAGACTGATTTTGTAACCCTTTAGTGAACACTTTCAGTGGCTTTACAATGCTGCTGTGTGATTCTGGCTGACTAAACAGGTTTGCTTTTTTTTCCCCCCCCTAAAAGGAAGTAACTGTTTTAGCTAATAGTGACCAGCAGGACGGTGGAACCTTCAATATGAGCTGGACAAAAAAAAATCAGAGGAGAAGCCAAGGGTGTGGTAAGAGCTGCTGGGTGAGTTAATTTACTTTATCTAGGAGATCATTCCTGGTGCAAAGGTCAGATCAAATTGCATTTTCATAGGGATTAAGGTCTGGATTTGCCATTGGGAAGACATTTCTGAAATCAATGAGGTGAAAAATGTTTCATTTATTTCTCTGTCAGTTCAGAATGGATTTAAAACTGAGAAATTAAAAGTTAGAGTTTTGGGAGTGAATAAAAAGATGCCGCACTGTAGCAATTGTCACAGCTATGACATTGAGATTTTTTAAAATATACAATGGGCATGAAAATCTTATGTTCTTGCATAGTCTTATTTCTAATCAGTGAGTCAACGCATTTCAATGATGTAATACACCAGCCGAAAATCTGCTGCCAGATACATCACAGGACAGCCACATTTTTCTTCACTAAAACATTGGGAAATAAAGCTTGGCCCACGCTTCAAAACTTCATATTTATTCTTCCAAATCTATTCACATCTCTGGCAGCTGGCTGACGCAGAAAAACTTCTGTTCACTACCATGCTGTCCAACCTCCAATTTACTCCACCACAAAAATGCTACCGCTACCTCCACCTCTATGGCTTTGGTTCCCAACCTCAGTCTAAAATCTTCACCGTGGCTTTGTCAGCTGTAGTCCTGACTATTTCAATGTTCTGAATTACATTTCAATCTCAAACCACTGCAAACTCTTGCTCATCTGAAACCCTGACAGCCATATTTCATTTTACACCAAGTTCTACTCACCCATTGTGCCTTTGCTTGCTGACCTAAATTTCCTTCCAGTTTTCCAATACCTCCAACTTAAAGTTCTCCTTTTTATCTTTAAATCTATACCTAGCCATGCCATTCCCTTAACTTTCATAACCACTAGAACTTGCCTGAAGCTTTACACACTATACCTTTAACCATCTAGCCCCCATACTCTGGAATTTCAACAAGAACTCACATTTATACTGTAGCTACAATATAATTAAAAATCCTAGGATGTTCATGGGTCTATTATGGGATGAATTTGATATCTAGCTGCACAAGGGGATAGAAAGCCAGAAATCCAAAAGCTTGGCCAGAAGCGTGTTTGAATAACATTGAGATAACAAAGATGAATATTGCAACACCAGATAAGCTGGGGCAAGATCAAAATCAGGCAAAGATAAAGGGGTTGAAATAGGCAAACTTAGCTATAATGTAGTGTAAGAGAAATCAGGAACTCACCTGGGAGTCAAAGGTAGTACCAAAGTTGTGAAGTGTCTGGTTTAGCTGTCGACCATTTTCAGAGAGACAGATGGAGTCAGAGGCAAGGGGAGAAGAGTTAGTGACAGAAGGACTAAACACAACAACTTAATTAATATAAAAAGCTGATTCCTCCTTAAACCCCTTTGCCTCTTCTCCTTCTTTAAGATTCTCCTTAAAATCTACCTCTTTTAGTTATCTCCTTATTTATGTCACCACTCCATGTATTTCTGATAAAGGTGCAACATATAGTGATTTAGTGTTTTGCAAAACGAACAAATGGGAGATGAGGTGAAACTATTTCAAACAGCAATTAGTTACAATAAGTTTGTTCTTCAGTCTGGGAGCACGTTAACTATTTTTCTCTCTATAGATGCTGCCAGGCCTGCTGAGTTTGTCCAGCACTTTCAGATTTCCAGTACCCATATTTCTTGATTTTATGAGATTTACCAGGATGTTGCCGGGTATGGAAGGTTTGAGCTATAAAGAAAGGCAGGATAGGTTGCGGCTTTTTTCACTGGAGCGTAGGAGGTTGAGAGGCGACCTGATAGAAGTTTATAAAATAATGAGAGGTATCGATAGAGTTAATGGTACAGGTAGTTCTCCCATAACACAATAGTTGCATTCGTGTCCGACTTTATGCTATAGAAAATTGCCATTAAAAAAATCACGTTATACGGAAACCACCATAGAAAATCACTATACTTATACAGTAGAAAGTTTGTGTTATCCAAACAGCATCCACTATTCATCAATGGCATTACAGCCAATTAACATTAACAAAACACATGTTATAGCAGAAATACCTGTAGATGTCTTTTCCCTAGGATAGGGGATTTCCAGACTAGGGGACACATTTTTAAGATGAGAGGAGAGAGATTTAAAAAGAACAAGGCAAATTTTTTTTACACAGAGGGTGGTTCCCGTGTGGAATGAACTTCCTAAGCAAGTGGTGGATGCAGGTCCAATTACAACTTTTAATAAACATTTGGATAAGTACATGAATAGGAAAGGTTTGGAGAAATGTGGGCCAGGAGTTGGCAGGTAGGACTAGTGTAGTTTGGAATTAAGTTCCGCATGGACTGGTTGGCGGATGGGTCTGTTTCCGTGCTGTATGACTCTATGACAATATTAACGATTAGTGTAGTTAAGGTTTGGAAAGCTCTGTCTCCACCTCTGTGGTGGAGGCTGATCCAGCCGAGGCATTCAAGAGGATGTCAGATGTGTACTTAAACAAAAACAATATAAGGGTTGCGGGAGAACGGCAGGAGATTGGCACCAAGTCAAAACGTTGCAGACAGCCAGTACACAGACAACGGGCCAAACGGCCTAAACCCGCAACCTAAAATTTCTGCGACTCCGTGTATATACAAAAGAAACAAAATGCTTTTGCCGCCGGAACAGCAATGCCTATTGCCATTTCTTGTCTTTTCACGCAAGTTTTCGTTTGACACCCTGCCAATAGCAGATACAAAACATTTACATAGATCAACCAGAGAGACGAAATAAAAACGTTAGGACGAAGAAAAGGCTATAGAGGGTGGGGGAGGGGGGAGGAGAGGCGGGGATTACGTTCTTGACGAACTGCTGACTAAACCTGTAAATAAATCCGAGCAAACCCTTCCAAAGGGTAACACTTGGAGTCCACAGGTATAACGGCCATCTCACCTGTGTGACCTGGCTTGCCCTTCCAAGCCACCCCCCGAGGAAACCGTTAAAGGAAATGGCAGGAGGGAGGGGGGTGAAATCTCGCGAGCAACGCGGGATTACTTTCGGAAGGGCACGGGACTATTTTGTGGCAAGCGCGGAGGACGCTCGATTGTGACGTCCGACGGCCGCGCAGGCGCGAGGCGACCGTTGGAGAGTCCGGGGCGGGGACTGGACGTGGGAGGGGAGGGGCGTGCGCCGCCGGATGCGACGCGGCGGGCGAAGCTATAAATAACTGCGAGTTGAGGCGTTTGACCCTCCGATCCCCGGCTGTGTGTGTGTGTGTGTCTGTGTGCACCAGGCTCCATCCGAGCTTTCCCGTCAGCACACTTTTCTGTTCTATCTCTATACATAAATGATTTAAAAAAAAAGAAAAAAATTTAAAAAAGCGGAAAAAACTCTTACCCAAAAAAATCTAAAAAAAACCCGAAAGAAAAAAAGCTGGGTGGGGGTGAAAAAGAAAAAAAAAGACAACCCGACATCAAATCAAGTCTCAACGTCCAAGAAGAAGGAAGAAAAAGAGAGAAGAAAACAAAATCAACCGAGAAGATTAGCAACAACCTAGGAAAGGAGAAAAGAAGAAAAATACTACAAATTTAAAAAATTAAACCGACGACGCCGACAAGGGGGTGTGTGTCTGTGTGAGAAAGCGAAAGGGGAGAAATATAAAGGAATCCTCGAGGAGATCGTCAAAACAGAAAACTACCTTCAAAACCAGAGCTTCATTCGGAGCGGAGCCGGATCCCGAAGTAGACTGACTCTGCTGGGCCTCGGCCTCCTCCAGCCCTCCCTTCCGCAGGCGCCATCTCCTCCTCCTCTTCCCGGCCCCTCTCTCTGTTTCGCTCGACGCTTGAATCCTCTTCCCAGCCTTTTTTTTAAAAAAAATCTTTTTATTTCCTCCTTAAACCATCTAACCTAATTTTTTTGTCTTCCCCGAGGTTTTTTTTGGAGCGAGTGGAAGTTTTTTTTTGCTGCTGTTGTAAATCCTACCTCCCTCCCTCCTCTCTTTACCCCTTTTTAATTAAAGTGACCGAGCGTTCATTCCCTCTCCGCTGCTGCCACCATGAACCCTAGCGCCCCCAGCTATCCCATGGCCTCGCTGTACGTTGGCGACCTGCACCCGGACGTGACCGAGGCGATGCTGTACGAGAAGTTCTCTCCAGCCGGGCCTATTCTGTCGATCCGCGTGTGCCGGGACATGATCACCCGGCGCTCGCTGGGCTACGCCTATGTCAACTTCCAGCAGCCGGCCGACGGTGAGTGACCGGGTGTACTTGGGGAGGGCGAACGTTTGGTGTCGTTCCTGGGGAAGTAGGATGTTAACTGCGAGGGATACCGGGACTTGACCCGGCCTCCGGAGGCTTCACCACGTGAAACGGCCTCCAGGCCAACCCACTCTCTCAAA